GCCAGCAAAAACCACAATAACCGACTTGTATGTGTTATAAGGATACTGCAAGTTAGTCCTTACATAAATGACTGTTTAATTTACATGCATTCAATAAAGGTGCAGCAAACCCACATCAAGTTTGTATAGTGAGACTGAAAAATATAGATGCACATGCTACTGGTCTTTGAAATGATGTAGGACTGGAGATAGCTTAATAATCTCATCCTTTGCCTGTGAACATAGGTTTTGGTGACTGCTATAGAAGGTCTAGTTTAGTACTTTCCAGGTTTTTTCCTTGCTTCTGAATTCCTTTGTTAAGTGAGGTAGAGGCCCTTCTATAGTGACCTTAACCTTTTAGAAAATAGCTGCCCCTTAGCACCAATGCTTAGATGACAAATTGAAAAGTATTGCATTGCTAGTTACCTCAGTAGGTAATGTTTCAGGATTTTAGTGAGAACCTGAAGCCTGCAGTGCCTCAAGTTCTGGAAGAAAGTGGATTTGAGCCTGTCATGAAGCATATGATTAGTGTGTTTGAGGAGTCATACTTGAACAAGGAAAAAGAAGCTTATGCCATGCACTCTTAAATTTTTTGACTGTTGTATATGGTACTTCATCTGAAATTCAAAGCTACTTGACTTATTTTTTTACTTTATGTATACAATGCTGTCCTGCAGTAAGTTTACTAGATTTTCCTTGCTCCAACCATCATTTGGCAACTCAGAAATAGAATGCAATAGATAAAAAAAAATTAGCAAGCTGCCCCTGAAGAAGAAATGCTTAGTGGGTGCTGTCTAGTTCTCAGACCAAGTGTGGATTGTCTGCCACTACTATATATGAAAAGGTGTAAGGCAGCCAGGATAAAATTTGGTGTTTAGAAGTACTCTTCAAAACATAAGTAGTGTGTTAGTTCTGTAAGGAGTATACATTCAACAAATTTCATTCATGTTCCTTTTTTCTCAGTCAATAGCTGATCATGAAGCCAATCATTTATGCTTGAAGTAAATTAAGGCAAGATTGTATGTGTAGTTGCTGTTCTTGTTCACTTTGTATTGAGTGGGCAGTGTACTTCAAAGGAATAGAATTTCCCTTGCCATGAAGTGTTTGGATTATTTAGCATTTTCCTACTAAAAGGCAGATGTAGGGTCTTGTTCTTGAACTGATGTGATCAATGAGGTGGAATCAGTCTTGTTTTAATGTTCTGTATATTCTCAAATTGAAAAATGGGCATCTCAAAAGTGACTTCTGTGCCCAAGTACTTAAAAATATTTCAGTTTTGATCTGTCTTTACTACAGAAGTAGCAACAGCCCTTCTAGCTTCATTAGTATCTCTGGTGAACTTGATGATGTTTGTTCAGGGTATGAATTTGGTGAAGTACAAGAAAGTATATATATTATTGAATAATGAATAGCAATAGTAGTAAACGTGCTTTCAGTCCTCTGCTAAGAAATTGAAAGGAAAAAAACCCGCAACAGTCATTAAAAAAAAAAATCTCTAATGTGCTGTATTCCATAACTTAAGGCATTAGATAGAGCTCTTCTATAAATCTGTTGAGAGCTAATCGTATAGTAGTTTATATAGGTTCTCCCTAGCTGAACGACAGGGGGATTTGCTGTTCTTGGGCAACTCTGTCTCGGCTCGTGGGTCAGAACTTTCCACAAAGCAGGAAATGTTTAAACACAAATGGGAATGTAGTTGACAATATCTGAATGAATGACAGGATCTTAATTGATGTAATAATAGGCCTCTTCAGAGATTTGCATCTGGGAAGTAGGCAAGACATTGTGTATAGTTTGGGGTCACTCTTTCTAGCTAGTCCTGTAGTATTTCCTACTTGCCTGGACTCAAGATGGAAGAAATAGGGTGGATTTGAGCATGCGTTTCTAGGGGGAGGGCAGGAGAAGGGGTGGGGTACAGTAACCGCTATTAAGGAAAGGGGAAATTTGGGCAAGCAGCTGGCATTGGTAACCTTCTGCCTTAACTGGTCCTTTCAGACAGAAGAGGAGCAGGCAATACGTGAAAACTCATGCACTACAACATGAGGGTTTAGTAACTCCTTGTCAGATCTAAGAGGTGTTTGGGGATGGGGTGGGACAGGAAATGCTTTTCCAGTGTGTGTATATCTAAAGTAGGCTGGTTTTATACTTTACTAATAAGTGTTTCTCTCTTCAGTACAAGTGCATTCAAGCTTAGTAATACCAAGTTGAGAATTTCATTCACTTCCAATTATCTTTCCTCCCATATTGCTGTCAGCCTTTCAAGAATGAAGGCATTGTTACTGAAAAGGATGTTATACAAGAATGGTTTCTTAATCACTTTCATAATTTCCACTCTTAAAAAATCATTTATTCATTGTTGCTGGTGTTGGAATCATTGCTTTACTTTAGTTTGCGGATGTGGTATTACATTATGAAGTGCGTGTGAAAATGCAGCTTTTACTAGATAACACAAACCAGTTCAGTTTTCATTTAGAACATTTGTTTTATATTGAGGCTAAGGCAGTAAATATTTCCTGCAGATGGGGAAAAGATTACTGAATCTGAATCTACTACCGTATTATTTAATGAAGTTGGAGATACACTCTAAAGATGTAATTAAATTTAATTTGCTGTTAGAATAATGGTAGATTGTCTTTTATGTGAGACTAGTACTATTGTAGTTCATTCCTAACTATTGTAACTTCCAGCGATTTCAGGTGGTGGTGGTTTGGGGGTTTATTTTGGTAGAGAAAAATAGGCCCTCCTACAAAAAGAGCAAAAGCAGTCTCAGAAATATCTGTTGGGAATACTTTTTGTCTGAAGTTTGCAAATACCACAAAATACTGCACTTTTTGTGAGTATTTTGGAAGTTACCCCGGGGAGAAAAACACTTCCCATACTGAAGTAGTTTAGTTCCCCCAGGAGCATTCTTTTCCTACGTATTACTCTCAAAACGTGCACTCAGATTCTCTGCTGGCCCGCTCTCGGTTGCTCTTCTGATCAGTTTGTCACTTTCAGTACCCAAATACAAATGAAGAAGCTTGGGGAGATGAATGCTTTACTGTGTGAACTTAGGAAAAGGTTTGCCCAGAAGTTGAATTTGTACAACAACAAATGAAGTGGTTTCCTTTTAAAGCAGTTGCTGTAAGGGGTAAGATCATAAAGCATGAACAGAGGCAGTGTGTTTTTTAATAATAGGAGCTTATTGGACTTCTTAAGACAATATTGAATTAATTCATATTTAGCCTAATTACCATAAGCAAACAAACAAAAAAACCCCATAACGGTTCTAAAGAGAGGCTAAGCTATGAAACTGCTGTTGAGGTTTTTATTAGAACAATTTGTTCCTGGTTCTTAATTAGAAAAGCTAATTAGTTTAATTAAAGTTCTAAAAGTTTAATTACAGTGTTTTGCAATACATATCAGCCATTTTCAAAGGGTAAATTCAGATTTGAAGTGCTTCCCTTATTAGCTTCTGAGAACTAGCTGTTCAAGAGTAATATTAAAAAAGCATAAAGAAATGTGATTTTTTTTTTTTTTTTTTTTAAGATGGCGTAATTCTAGGCATCTTTAAATTAAATTCCATGGTTTTTCAAATATTTTAGGTGGTTTGTATTCTAAATTAAATCATGAACCATTTGTCTTTATGCATAAACTGTCAATGAACTGGAAAACTTCAGAATTTTTTCAGATGTATATTGGAGCTTATTACTTTATTTCTTCTCTTTTATAGCGCTCTTTCAGCCAGTACCAGTAGGCTCTCGGGAATTTGAGGATGTTGTGAAGATTCTGCATTCATCTTACTTGGAACCAAGTTCAGTGTCCAATTTTAATTATAGGAGAGCCAGCCTAGTTCATAGTGAACTGTTGGAAAAGGAAGTGAGTATATTTGTGGCTTCTCTTTATGAATAAGGTACAAGTCAAATGAAACTTAATGTTTTTTCTGAGTCTAGAGGCAAAGACCTGGAGATTATTTTCTATGTATATGCTTGCTATTTAATTGCAAACTCACATCCCCCAAAATGTAGGCAGCTATTTTTCAGACAAGTTTATTACTGCATAGACATAAAATCTTGCTTGCTCGATACTCAAAAAAGACTAAAAGAAAAATTGTATTTGGCACCACTTGTCTCTGTGCATTTTTAGTTTTTAAAAATTTTCTTAATTTTTATGTATTTTTAATAACCTGGAAAGATGTTATAGTGTCTTATTTGAAAGGCATGATGCTTCCTATGAAACTTAAAATATTTTTCTGATACTAAGTTTACATAGTCTCTGTAACTTTGTTGTTTTCCAAGAAGAAGTAACTAAAAGAGTTGATTACTTGAACTAGTAAGTGGAGCAGCTTGGTTGAAGCACTTCTGCTGTACCTTATCTGGTGTCTCTTAAATCCAGTCTTGGCTTTTTTTCATAACTGTGAAATAAGTTTTCAGTCCCAGTGCCAAAAAGCTTCACATATGGAGTAATAGAATATATAATTGGTTTGCTATAATTACTGTCTTGAAACTGTAATGTAAACTCTGAAGCATTTTTTTTTCTGCTACTATAACATTTATGATTCATGGTTACAGCTAAGGAGTATTGTAACTGATGAAAACCATCTCAGTAGCAGTGAAGTGCAACTGCAAAAGTACTTGCACAATGTAAGAGATAATGGTCTGTCTCCTAAAAAGAGAAAAAGGCTTATTTCTGGAATTTCAAAGATGATACGGAAGGCATTGGGCTGGATGCCTCTGGATAGTTATGCTACAAAGATAGCACTAAACATAACTGTACATGTTTGTTTGAAGAGTGTCTCTTCCTTAAAAAAACCCAACCAAACAAAGAAATCTTTGGGCAGATTAAGCCAATGATATTTCCCACAGGTATAATGGTTTTGAAATTTAATTCTAGCATACTATAGTCTCACTCAAATTATCCTTTGATTATTTGTGTACACTTGCATCTCCTAATGTAGATGGGGCCTTAAAATATTGACACTTGAATGTGACAGCAGTAATCTGTCTAAATGTGTTAAGAACTTTCTGTTATAATAGTTCACAGAAAAACGCAGAGAGCTGAAATTTGATGGTCGCCTAGAAAAAGAGCTTTCTGAAACCTATGCATTTCTGATGGTTGATCGACCTGAGGTAAGAAAACAAAACTGCATATAAAATGCTTTCTCTTCTTTTTCAATTAAGAGGTTTTGTTTTTTTAAACTGAGTGTTTTTATTGACACACCTGATTAATCTTTAATTATTTTTGCGAAATCCAGCACTGGAAAGTGTAGAAAGATGGGAAAGAGATGATACCATGTCACCGTTTAAATCCTTTACTCTCTGTTATTTACATGTCTCTGTAAAGTATCTTCTTGGATTTAGGCTCTGTTTTATAAATAAAAGGATAGATTTTCTGGATGGCATGTGGGTTTTTATTGGCTTTATGTTGTTTTTTTTAATTGAAAAGGAATATCGCATGTTTTCTTTGCAGTTGGTTTTTGGTTTTTGGTGGGTTTTGGGTTTTTTTTGTTTGTTGGGTGGGGGTTTTTTGCTTGGTTTTGTTTGGTTGGGTTTTTTTGAGTCAAGAGAGGATACCTTAAGGAGAAGGCAACCTGTAATATTAGAAAATGGACCTTATCTTCTGTGTCTCTTCTTCGATCATATGTTTTTGATGAAAATGATGGAGAGGGGAATTTCTGTGCTTTTTCTGCTATTACAGAGCCAGGATTTCTTAAGTATTCAATCATTTGGCAGGTTTACTTCTGCTTTGTGTATTAAAAGCAAGTAATGTTCATAAAGTGTGTTTAAGGTATAGGCAGACTGTTTTTTTTAAGATACGGGTGAGTCTGTGTAACTGCTTCTTACTGGGTGTTTCACTTGCACAGTTTAACAGTTTATATAGCAATTCGGACTAGTTTCACCTCTGGGTGGTTTTGTTTCTGAGGGTTTTTTGGGGGGTTGTTCTTGGCTGTTGGTGTTCTGGGTTTTTTTTTGGCTCAATCAAAATTCTGTAATTGTTGTTTCTCACTGTTTGTTCTGTTCATATTCTGGCTTTCCTGATAGACTTGCTTAAAAAAATGTCTGTTCTCTTCAGATCCAAAGCATATGCGAGAAGGGGCTGCAGGTGGGCCACTCCAAAATAACAATTCTTGGCAGCCCTTCCATGGGTAACTATCTTTTGATTGTATGTGCTGGTCTTACTCAGTATGAATTGGCAGATAATGTGATGCAGTTGTGTAAACTTTCAGTCCTTTTTCTATCACTTATTGCAGGAACATCACAGCTAGGTATTTTTAGCAAAGTAGATTGACATCTACTCTGTTTTTGACTAGTTCATTTAAACTTTTTTCCCAAAGGGAAGACCTAATTCTCATTTTGGCTTAAGTCAAACCAATATACCATGTCTTCCCAGTAAAATTCGGAGGCCAAAGAACTAATGCAATCTATGGCTGTGTGCCTCTCTGTGTTTGTACATACACGTATACATGTATATGCATTCAGAAATACCTAATGGAAATAGTAGCTCAGCTTAGTATTGATGTAGATAGAACTAAAGTTCTTGAATCCACAAATCCAAGAAGAGCATAGATAAATTGGAGACTTGGAAGAGTCACAAGGTGTTAAGAGATTTGAAGGTGCAAAGCTTTTCAAATAGAAAATTAAGAAATAATTTTGTCATTCTCTGTAAGAGTAACATGATACAGAGGTGCCAATATGAATGTTGAAAGCAGAACAGATGCGAGGGGGGGGAAGAACAAAGGTACATGAGCATATAATTTTTTACTTTTTTTTTTAATTTTATTTTTTAGCCAGTAAAGGTTCTGGAGCAATTTATCAAAGCAGTTAAACACAGACTTGGAATGAGAGGAACCTAAGCAAAATGGATGCTTTTCTGAGTACCTGTATTCAGTTACAGTTATTTGATCTGAGGTAGTCGGCTAGACCAACAAATGACCGTGTATATTTGAGGCCTTCAAATCTACGAAATTATGGTTGAAGTGTTGAAAAGCAAGAAATTATTTTACCTTTCCATTTGAGTTTCAATTCACAATTCCAAAACTGTATTTTTGTCAACAGTGTAGGATGAAAGATTGCTGAGGATGCCAGTGTTTTCCTGCCGTATTTCTCAATCATACCTTCACTGCTTATGTCCACATTGTACAATGGTACAGAAAGACCTCAGCTTTTCAAAAAAAACCACCTGAAAGCAGTATCTGTATAGCCTTTGGGCAGGGTTTGTCCTCTTGGTCACAACACTTTTAGTAATGTGGGCGTGCACGTTTCAAACTGAGCTAGCGTCCATGCTCTGCTGTGGTGTTTCGTGCTGCAGTTGGTGCAAGTAAACATACATTCTGCTGTCTTGAAGTTGCAAACTGTGAACGTGCCCTTACACCTTCCCCTGATCATATTCCAAAAAGATGTTGTATCTTTATTGTTTGGTATACCTTGAGCTTTAATCCCATGTAATGCTTCTTAAACGTCTAATAATGTTTTAACGTTCAGCATAATGTGGGTTTTTTTTATACTCCTCTCAGGTGTATATATCTCCAGGTATGCTGATTTATTGCAGCCTAATCCTCTAGAAGCTGGAGCAACTGGAGATGTGATTGTTTTTAAAATAATAAAGGTAAATTTATCTTGCTTATTCTTGAAGGATTGTATTGCTTACTGATAAAATAAAGGTGGTTTTAATCTAACTTATTGAACTTCCATTTACACAATTACCTGCTTATAGAGAAACTAGAACCCTACCAGGTTTAAAATCCAGTGTTGACACTGAGCTTAAATAAAGCATAATAAATTTTTAGAAAAGGCAAAAATGTCTTGTTTTCTTTGGAAGTATGAAAATAATGTACTTCTATAAATGGCTTTTCTAATGGCCTGTTTTCATTTCCCTGCTCTTACTTCCTTTGGTACTTGAAGCAATTTGCCAGTTTTCAGGAAAAAGCTTATGCTTACAATTCTTCTGCTTTATTACAGGGAAAAATGAAAAGCATCTATGACCACATCGGTATGAAAGCAATGGACTCAACAGTAAAGAGTGCATTAGATCCAACACCAAAGCATGAGTGTCATGTTTCAAAGAATGCAAATAAAGTAACCTCCTTGTTGGCTTATCGAGCCTATGAACTTACTCAGGTAGAGGAAAGTTGAGCATGCGTTAACTTCTTATGTAAGAACTTTTTTTTTTTATAAACAGAACTTTTGAAATGATGGAGATAAAATCACTGACGATATAAAAAATACTGAGCATGTCCTGTAAAGCTGCAGTCTGGTGTATGTTTAGCAGTAGCCCACAGATGCCTGTATTAGAAATTACAGAACAACATGTCAGCCTCTCTTGTTTCCCTTATATATACCTGGACTTGATGGAGAAGATCTCCTTCAGATTACGATGTAGGTGGAATAGGAAATAGCTGGGGAGTGTACATGGGGACTGGAATGTAGGCTGGGGAGGAGAGGAGATAGTATGCGGAGTTTGAAGTGTAAAAGTAGAACTGGGTAGTGGGCATTAAGTGAGACTCCCAAAAGGGAAAATATTGGCTAGGAAAGAACAGCGTTTTTCTTTTTCTTTTCTTTTTTTTCTTTCTTTTGTTTCCCTTGCCAAATTCTCAGGTTTGGAGATGGTGAGGGAGGAAAGAATGGAATCAGTTCCAAGCATCTCTGTTCCTCCAGCTGTTCCATCTCTGTTACTGCAGTAATCTGTTGCAGTCAGATTATTCCATCAAGTCCATAGATTTCAGGATACTTACTTGAAAGCATTCTCTTCAGTATTACAACTTCTTTTGACTTCCGTAAATTGGAGCTGGGCACTGAATCTCATGGCTAGAAAATGGATGTATGTTTTCATTTTCTCATTACAAACTTGTCTTAATTAACATTTTTCTTTAACATTAGAATTTTGTGACTGAACTAAGGATGGAATCCAAAACTCATAGCAATATTTACTTTCCTAGTGAAATTTCTTTTGTTTTTGTTAATTGTCTCTTACCTCATCAAGACTATACTTTCAAATAAATATTGCAAAATTATTTTTTCATTCTTGACTAGCTCCTGAAGTGGTGTCCATCCTGTCAGTGTTTGATAAAGGAGGGAGGAGAAGGTGAAAAAATTATCTTAATTGATTGTGCTATAAAGTACATATGAGAACAGCATTTAAAAGCTTCCTTATTTTAGGTATTAGCTTTTGAAGAAATAGGCTGTTGGTAAAAGGAACATAAATGTGATTTATTATAGTAACTTAGAACTTGTTTTATATAGCAGTTAATGTTTGGCATAATGGGTTTCAAACAAACTCCCTTTGTTTATTTAAATAATTAATCATGAGGTGTATTTTATAAGCTATTCCTGTGAAACACTTTTCAGTGAAGAAAGGTCATGGATTGTTAGTATATTTGCAAAATACAGTTTACCAGACTTGCATTTAACATTGTGTTCACTTCTTTTTCTAGTACTATTTTTATGAATATGGCTTTGATGAGATAAGGCGAAGACCAAGACATGTTTGTCCTTATGCTGTGGTTTCATTTACTTACAAAGATGAAATGGTGCAAGTACCAAAATTCTTGCCCCCGTCAAGGTAAGCTGGGAAATGAGTTTTGGAAAGACTGCATGCAGCATGAAGAATTCATAGCTCTTGGCAGTAGCTTAGAATTGATTTAGATGAACAGTGCTGAAATGAATGGACATGTCACAGGAACTTAGCATAATAAATACTTCTAATGCAAAGCAAGAGGTGACAAAATTGGTTTTATGCAGCAGGCTGGCCCCTGCAGGAAGCAGTTCTGCTGCTCTTTTGACCTGCCCACCTTCTGCTGAGGTGGAATCTCTATATAAAGTGGGGTTTTTTGCTTAACTGAGGAAATTCACAGACATAAAAATGTTCACAGCATTATCTTGCTTGGTGTTCTAAAAAAATATTCTGTATACTTTGCCACTGAACTCTTCACTGGTGTCGTCTTACTGCTTGTGGAGAGAATATCTAAATGGGTAGTTGATTATAGATACAATATGATACCTATGCTGTTAGGAGGGCATCCAGATGTGGGGACTGTACTATGTAGTGCTAAAAATAGTTATCAAGATATCTAAAATAGCACAAGATGCTGCAGCAGTGATAGCTTGAGGTTAGAGAGCGAATTATCAGTGTTGCTATTTTGTTAGACTGATAAAATATCCTTAATGTAAAATTTAGTAGCCAGAAGTTTCTGTCTCAGCCTAGTCATTCTGTCTTTTTTCTTTTTGTTAGATCAAACAGCTTCAACACAGATAGAAGTACAGGTAACAATGAATTGAAATTTATTGCTTTTATGATATAGACGTGGAAGGTTTTGGACTTTTTTCCCCATATTGTCTTTAACCAGAATGATTCCTTAGTTATGCAGACTGTATACCTGAGTTTTATCCTGTACCATACTGATTGCCAGCATCTCTTCCTGATATTGGATGATCAAACAGACACCTTAATGTGTATCTTCTTTTACCAGAACAAACCAGAACTGAACAAAATCAAAAGTCTTGTTTTCCCCTCCTTTTCTACTTATAGTGTAGTAAGAACTTTACCTGCTGTTCCTGAATCTGCTGTTCAATGGCACTTCAAATAATATGATCCTCTGACTTGCTTTTCTTTTGAACCTCATTCAAGCAAAATATTAACATGTATGAAAGTGGTTGACAGTTAAGGTAGGCCACTGATATTGGCGTTGAGGGCATGCTTATATAGACAGGTACAGGTAACACGCCAACCTCCTTTACTCTACTCAGAGCAGGTCAGAACAAGATAGGATTGAAAACACCCGCTCTGTTACCTTTAACTTACTATTTAACATATTATTGTCTGGTCAGGTATTAGTATGAAATTTTCCCTAAACTGCTTTTGGAGATTCTGTAGCCTCTTTACTGTTATGTCTTTCAGTCCCACCTAGCAAGTAGTTTCACTTAATCTTTCTTTGTCATTTAATATAGATAAAAGTAACTATACATTATGGAGGGGACAGCTTTGGAATAAAGGCAAACTTTTGTGCCACGTTTCCTTGAAATCAGCAGCACGTCCTTTCCTTCCATGCAAGCTGTGAGTATTACCATTTAAAGAGTAGGTTTAAAATACTGCTGTGTTAAAACTCTTTCTAGTAGAGACTGGTGAATTTTGGATACACATTGACTAGACACTTCAATGTGTCAAACTAGACTCTTGAGTCGTGCATGTCCACAGGTTCTTTTAGTTCATGCACACAACTCTGTCAGCATCTCATGTTTGTCTGTTTGTTTGTTTGTTTTCCTTTGAAGTGACACACACTCCTTTGCAGGAATAAACACCACTGGCTCACGAGATAGTCCAAGGAACTGATTTTTAAGAGCATGTATTTGATAGTTCTTATTTGGTCAATGAGGGTAGGACTATGGGGGGGGAAAAAAGAGGTCTTTATTTTTTTTTCTTTCTCCCTCCCCCTACCCTTCGTCTCCAGTCCTGAGAAGCTTGAGGTTGAAAAAGTTGTGAGCATTGATCAATTGAAGAAAAAAATATCACCAGCATTGTTCTATAAAGAAACTTACCTAGGAGCAAAAGAAGGTAAATAGTTCTAGCTTAATTTTTTTAAATTCAGAATTTTAAAAAGTTTCTCAATTACAATTTTGTTTCTGTTTTTCTTACCTTCTCTTGCTACCCTTGTATCATGTCAGTGTTGAAGAACGGCATGTACTGTAGCCTTTATGAAGTTGTGGAGAAGTCCCGTTCTGGTAGTCACTTGGAGGGTTTACTTCAAAAGCTGGAGAAAGAGAAACTTGTGAGTGCAACAGATTTGACTATTCCTGCTCTTGAAAATAATTTTACTAACTAGTAATTGACGCGTACTACAAGATCCCTGATCTCGCTGGAATTCCTTAGCTGGCATACTCTTAAGTATTGTATCAGGGCACTTCTCTACCCATGATGGAATTTAGCTTACAGACCGTGACAGTATTCGTAATGAGCAAATGTCTTTGATTGTTCGAAATGGTATACTTTTTTTGCTTGCAAACAGGTTCTTGTGAAACCACTTCTGGACAGAGGATTTCTTTTTCTTCTTTCTCCTTGGCAAATGATGTCCCCTTACGGTATGCATACTCTGGGTTTTTGGTTTTGAGTTGGTTTTGGTGTTTTGTTTTTTTTTTAGGGGGTTGGGTTTTTGAATACTTTTGAAGCATAGTGGTCTTCTCCTTCTCAACTGATTTTGTTTTCTTGTGTTCTAGACCACCAAACTGGACGGCCCCGCATGCTACATGCATTGTTTCTGTTTCCAGAACCTAGAGGTATAATGAGCTCAAGTAAGTTTGTTCACTGTTGAGTGTGTTGTGTACGTGCTTATTTAAATGTAGTTTATGTTCTCTTGAAGACTTTGTAGTGTTATAGCGTATCAGCGTAAACTAGGAATAACAGTTTGCATTGGTTATGGTCATGGTGTTCAAAAGGTGATTATTTCTTCACAAAAGTAATTATCGTACTACATATTTTAGGTTTGTTCATATTTTAGAAAGTAAAACTTTGTTCAAATTTCTTGATTGTATATTCTAGTAGAACTGAGCCACCAGTATTCCAAGAGATCTATGCATTAGTAATAACATTGCACTTCAGAGGTTTAAGCACTTTCTTTAACCATCAAAACGTTAAGGACAAAACATCTGAAAGTCTTTAATGTAACTGTAAATTTTTTTTTGCATTGGGATATGCACCAAAAACTTAGTAAATGAGCAAAGAAAATATTGATACAACCAGGTAATAAAAGATGACTGAAAGGACTTGGCTTTTGGGATGAGACTTTAAAGTTAATCTTTTACAGTTGAAACTTGCAATAAGTAGTACTAGCAGCAGAATGCAGTCCTTTTTGGCGTGCTGTGAGTTAGAAGTGATACTGACAAAACATAGCTCTTTCTCGGCATTTCACTTTTACAAAGAAGTTCTTGTCTGAAGTCTTGGCAGCTTCCTAGATTCTTATCTCTGTATTTCTTATTTTAATAAACCCCATACATTTTTCTGATTTAAGTAACAATTATGAAAATTCAATCAGTTATAGATTGGGTAAGAGGAGATACAATATAAAATGATATTTAAAGTGTGTGCATGCCAGTTCCTTAAAAATACTCCAGTTCTTGCTACTGTGACATTTCAAAGACTTATGAGCTCCAATTTCTGTCAAATACAAGGTTAATCACTGGTTTGAGTCTTCAGAGGTGCTTAAAGAGTTTAATGGAGAAAAGTTTCAGTCTGTGATTGGAAGGGGGGAAGACTGTGAATAAATAAATAAAATAAAAGAAGGATATAACTTGGAGCTTCCTTGAGCTGCTGTTTCAAGGATGCGGTAAAAGGATCTAACAGCTTCCCGGGACAGGGAAATCCTGCTCTTGGCACATGCTCCTGTTGCATCTCTTCGATTTAGTGAGTTGTGTTGCTTTGCAAAGGAATGGAAAAAATTGTATAGGTTTCTGCTGGGTTACTAAGCTGAATCATTTTATAGGGGTCCAGTGAGCTTAGAAGCAGCACAATGAATGTGTTGGGATTGCATAGGAAGGAGTAATGCTTCCCCTGTTTCTTGCAGGGAGCTGTTAGGCTGCTTCTTAGTAAACCTTAGTAAGCCTTTGAAGTGGCCTTCTTCTAGAAGGGTCAGTAAAGTGGTTTAAGTTGGAAATTATATGTGTATCTAGGATACAGGTTACCACAAAATTATGAAAATGAGCAGTTCATCATGACTATGAGTAGGTTGACTTTTAAGTAGGCTTTAAAGCTGGTTACTTGACAAAAAATGCCTTTCCTGGCTTTTGGGTTATTTCTCCACAGTCATTCCAAGCTGTGTTTCACCAAATATGTATAATACACAATATTGCTAACTAGTCATCATTTATTTATAGCTTTATGATTTGATTTTAATTGTGAATTCCCTTTTCTCCTATGGCAGCACAAAAAAGTGTTCCATTTGGAACACAGAAAAATTCAACTACCATGGTGTTGCACGAAAATCAGGAAATCATTCCAGAATTCACAAAGTTTATTCAGTCTCTACATTTTGCTTTAATCCAGTCTCGTAAAGACGCTACTGCAGATTTCAATGCTGTTGTGGAAAAGTATATAAATGAGTATTTGAAAAGATGCTGTAGTGGCTCTGGAAAATATAGAGAATTTGTATTATATCGGTATGAATCACGGTTGGATGACAAAAAATTTCTTTATTCTGCTCCAAAAAATAAATCTCATATTGACAGCTCCTTGCAAAACTATATTTTTGGTTGTGAGGCATATCAACTACCTGTTTCTAGAGCTAAGGAATTGATGGAGGGAAATCGGAAACTTCAACAGTTCAGTCCCATCTCAGATTATGAAGCCACAGAAGAAGACTCTGATTTTGCCAACGCAAAAAGCGGGAAGAGAATCCGTGCAAAATATGAAGCCACAGCTGCCAAGCGAAAACTGCCTCATTCTGGAGATTATGATCCCGATAGACTCAAAGAACTTATTAACTTAATCCAATGTAGGAAAAAAAATGTAGGTGGAGATTCTGATTCTGAAGACCTTAGAAGTAAAGGTGGTCTGAAAAGGAAGCTGGAAAAACAGTCTGAAAATTTGCGGAAATACTTAAAAATGAGTGAATCTTCAGAGAATAGTTGTCAGTATGAAGGTAAGAAAATCTTTGTTTAGAATTCCTCTTTAAACATTATAATTCAAAGCATATTTAACATTTACTCTTTATAGATTGAATATTTTTTGCATACTGTGGATATTTTAATGCATGGTAGTTCATTTAAACATTGGCCTGAGATGTATGAATAGAGATGTAGTTTATTTTTATGTAGGTTGCCTTTTTGTAGAAGACAAGTTAGCAGGACTTGTCATGGAATCTGCTTTTGTTCTGCCTCTTCGGAAAGAAGGCAGACTTCCAAAGAATTTCCTTAGCTGTGGAACTGTCCGAACACTTTCTAATATAAAGTACTAAGCAGACTGGATATCGTCTTTTGCAGAGTTTGACTTTAGACATTGCTGTAATTCTTTATGGCTCCAATACCCTATATAATACCTAATAAATTTAGATTGAAGGGGAGAATTAAACTTCTAAGCATGAGCATGAGTTTTGAAATAGCCAGTAATATGTGCAGTGGGACAAAAGAAACAACCTAATAGTATTAAGATTGAATTACTCTGTACATGAAATTATCTACATCCAAACCTCAGATAATTATCACAGATATTATCTGATACTTACTTAAGGTCTGCCAAAAAAACACCTTTGCTTTCTGTTTCTCTGACCCTTTCTCAAGGCAATGATACAGGCCTCCTTCAGAAGGGGGAAGATTAGGGAGAAGGGTGGCACAAAGAAGAGGGAGAATTACATCAAGCATCAGTCATTCTCACATGTACATGAATCACTTTGGAAGATGAAGTGGCTCATCTTAGGAATAGGTTTCCCTTTTGAGAAGGACAAAAGATACTGGCATGTGTGGATGGAGGAAACAGAGAGTAGGCTACATGCTAGATCTTGGGATTCCTGCCTGGAAGTCTGTGAACCTTCAGGGTCTTTCTACATTGGTTGTTAATGTAAAATATGTGAATGCATTTCTACCTGGCTGTAATCAGAACAGTATCAGTTTAAAACTAAATTCTTACTTAACTCCTTCACGAGTACCAAACCAGCAACATCTATCTATGGTTTGAATTCCGTGTTTTTATATAACCCTGTAAGTAATTTGTTTGTCTTGCAAAAAAATCTTACCTAAAATACTGTGAGCTTAAGTATCTAAACATGATTAGATTTCCATATATGATAAATGAGTTAGGGGTTCATCAGATACTTAAAGTAGTTCCTTGGCCTGTCTCTTTCCAAGAACAATAAAAATACTTATAGTATTTACTTATCCAAGGGGATGAGTAGAAGAATAATAACCCTGTTCTAAAGTTACGTTTAGTTTAAATAGGCATGGTAAAGTTTTAGAATTGTGCGTAGTTTAAGATAACTTGTAAGGTTAAGCATTAAGATACTCATCAGCTTCTGGAGCAACAGTGATAGGATGAAGAGAAATAAATATTTTGCTCAAACTAATCTTTTTCTCTCAACAAATGATGGAGAATTTTACAGGGTTTCCATAAAATATATAGATCATAGTATGTGACTTTTATGAAAACATAAAATAGTGTGGTAGTGAGTGACCTAAAAAAACGTAATTATTTATCTGGAGGAGACTATTAGCTTTAGAAACTGCTCTTTTATCAACATCTACTTGTTTAAAAATTTTTGTTAAGAAAACAAATATATGTGTACTGTATGAATTGATGCTAAAGAGTGAGACTGTGGGTATGTGGTAGGTATTTGTGGGGGGATCTGGTTTTGCTTTTATTTTAAAACTTAGTAATGGATTACTTTTCCCCTCCTCCCCCTACTCTAAGGGGGCAGAACCTCGGATTCGCCACACTCTGTTTTCTCAATTAATACTGGTCTTGGTGGACATGATACTGACTTGAGGCAGCAAGATGTATCCGACCCTGCTGTTACTGACAGACATGGCCTCATTAAACTGCTTTTAGAAACACTAGCTAGTGCAGGACACTTGGATTCATCGTTGGCACGGTCTGTAAATCAAGCTTTAGGATTAAGCACTGATGAAATTGAAGAGGATATGAGACAAAAATATGAATATGAATCCATTCCAGCACAGGACAAAGATGATCATGAGCTTCCTAATACTGCTCAGGCTGAAAATGTTAACTTTAAGGACCCACAGAGCCCAGTGATACTGGAAACCGATGCGGCATGCTTACCCTACCCTGTTGATGTTGATCTACGGCTTTCAGCTAATGAAGTAGGCCTTGAACACACGCTCCGTTTAAAAGTAAGTGAAACTGCCATGTAGGTAGATGCTGATAATGAATGTACTATTTTCGTAAATATTATGAGACTGAATAAAAAAACATTCTATGTTTTTACATAGGTAAACATAGATAAGCACTACCTTTTCTGTGAAGAAGTTTTTCTGTTTGGTAGGAGCATACATGGAAATTTTCTTAACTTAAGATATGTGTTCCTGGTTCTTTATGTCTACTCTTTCTGTAATAAAGAATATCTGAAAGATGGAAAGCAACCATGGTCAGTCTTCCTCACTAGCTTTACAATAAGTGTCGTATGCAGCTGCTCCAGGAATAGGCAGCAAAACTTCTGTCATTCTGCTGCTGAGTGCTGTATATGAGGGTATTTTTTCATGTTTGCTGAGACCAAAGCTTTGCAGTTGTCTTCCATCTCTTGTAGAAAAAAGATACTCTATTCTGCCTCTTTACCTTGCTTATGGTGGCGGGTTTTTTTAGCAATCTGTGAAGTTGTTGCATGGAACAGGTATAGTGTTACTGTAACAGCTTGCATACTGCCTTCCTCCTCCTTCGGGGGTGATTCTTGGTCTAGCTGGGGTATTGAAGTTTGTTGAACCTGAAACACAGTAAGGAAAGATTTGAGAGTTCCTCATCATAGTTATTGCCTAGCTGTTACTCTTCCCGAAAGTAGGTTATAAGGCAATAGTTGCTGTTCCATGTGGACTCTCCCTCAGCAATGGTTGCAGGGCAGGCCATTAATGATTGTGTACTATTTAGTCTTTAAGCTTATAGACCTGATAGGTGGTTTGGATATGACAACTTGTCATGATTATGAAATTAATCTCGGGCACAGAAACAAGCCTTTTTTTGACCAGGTTCCTCCCAGATCTAAGTTGAGACAATCTCTTTCAAAGCTTATGCACCCAGAATTCTTCCCTCTTCTCCCCCCAAATGCAAACCAAAAATAAATATATCGGTTATACGCTGTATAATTTCAAGACTTTTTTCAGCCTGTTGCTTTCTTGTCATAAGCAAGAAAGTGAAAAAAGTCAAATTGCAATCCGTATTTGGTATTTAGAGTTGGTTGGAGGTATCATAAACAAGAATGTTTATCCACAGGTGATCAATAGTTACTCTAGAGAAGCAGAATGAGAGCTGTTTCCTTTTAATGATAGCTGTCTCTCTCATCTTGATGGAACAGATTGGCAAAACTAAGTCGATTGTCTTTGGAAACTAAATATGCTTTATGGGTTCTGAACTATTATCTTAAAAACAAACAAAAAAACCCAATGGCAACACCTTACCTCAGCTGACTGTTTCTGTGTGTGAGTTAGTGACCTTTTCTAGTGACAATACCACAGCGTTAATAAAGTGATTCTTACTGCTTTACAATCATCAAGCATCCTTTTGCTCTAATTGTAGTTACTGCTCCAGTTTTGGGAATCGATCTTGGTCCAGCCTCTTCAAAGTGTATTCTCTCTCCTACTTAATAGTAGCAGGCATTTTATAGGGCAGAAAAATGCCCCTCATTTGTGTGCACAAGTGAGGATCCTGCAATCCTCGTCTTTCGGTCTTGTACTGTGGAAAAGATGATGGGCTTGTTTCTGTCCGTCCAGCAGTGTCTGAGCGAGAAAGCGTTAACAAATGTGCATAGTGGAAGTTCTTAAACACTCTATGGATATTAAAGATGGTTGGGGAACTGGCTTTATTTAGTTTTGGCGGGAGCAGAGTTGAAAAATTTTGACCACTTAAACGCATGCCTACCTCTCTTTATGTGCCCTCTTGGTGCAGTGGTGTATACATATACATGGTTCCATGCATACTTTTCATGACAGCATATAACTGGCAGAACACTCTTTGAAGAAGGCTCTTGTGCTTAGGGTTCAGCGTGCCCCAGCTGCTTGCTCGATCACATTACTCTACAGAGGGGTTGTTCTATGATCTCTGTTATTGATACTTCTGCACAAATTCCAGTTTCTAAATCATGGAGCAGGAAAGAATTTGTCCTACCTGTAACCTCTGTGCTGTTTTGCTTCCAACCATCTGGAATGTGAGATGAAGTTGGATTGTTCAACATCCATAATGCCAACATCTAATGGCTTTAGTCAGCTATGAAGACAACAGCCTTGAAAAAGGCTAAGGACCAGACAGTTTTCCTAATTTTTTTTCCCCTCTTTGCCTCCTTTCCTCCCTGCCCCACCCAATTTCTGTACCCTAAGGCATGTGCTCAGGACTGCCTTATTTACTTAATGATAGATCAGCAAAGATCTCTGTCTCAGAAGTTACCAAACAGGTAAATGAAATATATAAGTACCTCATGTAAACATTTCCAAGTTTGATTTGACGGCAAAATTGCCAATATGCTGGTGAACTCAGGTGTGTTCTTACTGTCAGCTGTTCAGAATGTAAAAGCTTAATAGCTACCAAAAAAAAAAGTTTTCAGCTGAGAATTTTTATTGTTTTTAGGAAGCAAGCACTGGAAGTGTAAGTAGTTTTGAAGACTACAGTCCCTGTCCTAGTACACCTATAGAACATGTTTATCGCAGGCAACATTCCAACTCAAATAATATAGGAGAAGTTGGAATGCACTGGAAGCTTATTCCAATTACAGGTAAGATGGGTTTAACTCTTATGTTGCTACAAATAGTGAATGAAAACATGTTCTAAAGGTTTGCATCTTTCATAGATCCCATTCTTGGGTCACATGTTGGTACACAAGCTTATATATAGCCTATGCAGTTGTTTCTGATATTTAATTAATACAGAAATCTGCTGGATGAAAAGAGATTCTGGTGGAGAATACTGCTTTGGGTACATGCTGACATAATTTAGAAATGTGAATGCTTGAGTATTTATCTGGTGAGGTACATAACTGTTTTGAATTGAGTGTTTGAACTTGCTAGGTTCTGCTGAAAGATTGGACAGGCGGATAATTGCAACTAGTAAACCAGAAAAGTAATGAAAAATGTGTTCTCCTTGTAGAAAGTAGTCTACTTGTTGCATCACGCTCTTCTACTGGAAGTGCTTCAAAGTCTTTGTCCTTATCTAAACATTTAAGTCTTAAATAATCTCACCGAAGAAGCTTCTTGTTCTACTTCTCGATAAGTCAACAGTGTCAAGTCTTGGGAGAGCATAAAAGCATGGATTTGAAGGATGTAGAAACTGGGCTGTGGGAATAGTCATCAAAAGCTCTAAATTCAAGGTTACAAATCAAGTTGTCTTATGACTAAATCCAGATAGAATTTGTTAACTGCATTCTCTGAGTAAAAACTTAGTGATTTCCGATCGTGTTCTCGGAATGCTGGAATCTGTCTCTTGGACACTTCTGATATGCATCCAGTTGTGTAGTTCAGCAGCTCTTTTTTATTTGTTTGGCTGAGAAGGAAGGAGGGCAGGGAAATCAGGTTTTCCTTTGCAGTGTTCATCATTTCAATGAAATGACAGGGTCATTCTGGATAATGTTTTCTGCACTTTCTTTAAGGGCCAAACATCAAAAATCTGTTCTGATATTTTGCTAAGTTACAGAGTATGGAGACTGTAAAGTTGTTTGGATAGGACACTATTTCTTTTACTCCTGGAAGAAATGGCCACTGTGCATATAGATAAGAATATGGTTGCTGAGATGACTATCTAAGTGGATGATTAAGCATCTAAACTGTAATACATCATAGATGCTGGATGTGAGAGTTCATGCAAGCGTTTGTCAATTGACTGACACGTTGCACAGTCATCTGTGAGACTACAAATCTTACTAGAAGAAAATTTCTCTGAAGTCTTCTGAGAGGGAGAAGTGCTGTTCTCTAGGGATGAAAGAGATTGTCTTGAGCATCACTGGATTTCTTGAGTTCCTGCGAGGTCAGTTCTTCAGATTAGCTCTTGCTGCAATAAGTATTGACTAGCTCTGCAATATGATCATGTAAAAGGTGCTGTATAAATACCAAGAAACTCTACGAATGCTAACTGCTGCTGTCCTTCAGGTGGGCAGGAAGAGTTCAGTAGGATCAGCTGTAAAAACATGAAGATAAACAAACAGGTGAGAAGAGTGGATGGTACAGTTTGCATATGTCATTATGGCCTGAACTACTGAGCAGCTCGTATTCTCACCTGGTATTGAATTTTCATCAGAAAATTAGATCAGTAATACGCTATTCAGCAAGTGGACTCATTTTATTGAAGTACATCAAGAAGGCTGTAGGACAGTCAAAAGAGGCTTCAATGTTTTGGGCTACTGGCACTTGATTTTCACTAGGCCTATCTTCCTGTATAGTACCTTCTAGAGGGCTTTGAATTTTTATTGTAGGGAATTAAGACCAATTCAGTAATGTAATTTAAAGGAAGCTTTGTTCTTTTCTGAAACTGATTGCTTTCTAAATCTGATGGCTTCTCCATGTCTCTCATTTTTGTAGTAAGGTAGCTTAGAAAGGAATTCAGAGAACATCAATCTTTTTAATCTCTGCACAATTGCAGGAAGGCAAATTAGCAATCTCTTGTTTTTTCTTTTTAAATAAAAATATGTTTTACTTTTGATACAGAGATTATGTTTCGCTAAACTTACTTTAAGAACTTAACTCTTCATAGTTTGTGACTTGAGGAGTGGGGGTTTGTCTTGCTTCTTCCCCAATGACATCAGAAAGTGTTGGAGGAAATTGTTGTTCTAGGTCTACAACTCATCTGGACTACTTCTGTATCATGTTACTGTTCATTTCTTCATGATAATATAATGTAAACTTCTGACAATGGTAAGCAAACCTGAGTCTTACTTTTTTGAAAGCTAACTTGGGCACATGTGTGTTTTAACAAACCCATCATAACTCCAGTTTTGGTTTGAATTTGAGACTTTTCTTTGGCTTTAGACATTAAGTGCACAAATGGTGTTTGTTCTTGCTTATTCTTCCTTCTCTTGTAAGAGAAGATTAATGCATTGATAGGCATTCTTTAAAGTGATGGCTTTTGATGACATTCATCTTGGAAATTAAGAAACAGCATGTTCTAGGCTTTCTTTGTCAGGTGGTGGTTGAATTTTTTATTTCAAAATCTACCCAAGAATCCTCTTTCTGGAGTCACTGTAGAAGGACCTCTCTTAAGCAGTGAAGAATTTGACTCTTAATCTGTGAGGATAACTACTTCAGCAGCAGTTAAACAGCTGTTCTTTCTAAGATTGTTTTCAGGCAGTTCTCTTTTTGGTTTCTTTGACATATCCAGTTACAAGGTAATACCAACAAAGAGTATGTTTGAAATCATAATCATACTTTAGTAGTTGTTGAAGTGTTTGCTTGTTTATTTGGGTTTTACTCCTTGGTCATGCATTTGTTTTTTGTGAAGACTTGTGACCCAAAGGTGTAGATCTATGAAGGATGCCACCTTCAGAGAATTCTATTTAAATAAAGGTAACTTTAGTTTAAATAATCCTTTTTTTTTAATCCTGTTTTTTACATGTTAGAAAATATTTTGGATTTCATATTCAGCAGTATATCTTTCTGTTTAAGTTCTGCTTAATGTTTTTTAATAAAAACCTTTAGTAAGGTTTTTTAAAACAAAGTTTCTTTCTTTCTGGAAAACTTTAAATAATAAACTTTGAAGAATAACCTAATCAGTTCTTAATCATATATGCCTTGAAAACTTTTTTCCTAATACAATTGTTACAGAAACTTTCCATCAAATCAGGATGAGTGGACTGTATATTAATTTTTCCAATAACCTTTTTCAATAACCTAGGATTTGAAATTTTACCTGTATTGGGGGTGCAGACAGGAGAGCCACAGAACAAAATTTCATTGCTAAAAATTGGTATGCAACTGATTAGCTGTATTACAATGTAAGAAGTTATAAAAATAGTCCCAAATTTAAAGCCATAGTATAGCTTTCAATCTTCTTACTTGCTTATAGTACAGTATTTCTTGATTACAATAGTGATGTAGCTTGTAAGTATTGAGCAGCTCAAGAAGAATGAGTTGCATAACATATTCTTAAGTACCTTGTATCTCAAACAAGCTTAAACTAAGTTTACTCTGTTAACATTATAATTTAGTATCGAGTTCTGCACAGTCTTTTGAAATTAATATAGGGCAACAGAAAAAAGGTTCAAATAAAATAGAATGGAACTAACTGGAATAACCTGATTTATATCTGCATTTAGTGCTTTTAAAGAAAACTAGAAATTTGGGTTCACTCAAAGGAAGTGCTTTGAAGCATGAGGAAAGAACATACAGTTTCATTGATAAGGAAAATAAAATGGAACCACATTTCTGTTTTCTCTGTGTAACTCTAGTGGCATAAAGTAACTAGGAGGTGATACTGTCACCTTGAAAAGGGATCCTGTTAGTGGCAGATGTTTTCCTTTTAGATCTGGATGGACTTGATCAAATTAAGGACTGAATATAACTTTTTTAACTGGCTACAAAAACAACTGCATTCCAAAAAACCACAACTTTTAGAAACTGTCTGTAGTATTTTGGTTATTGCTTCTGTTCAGAAATCTTTTTTTCTGCTGACAACTGTATTGGCTTTAACAATAATACACCACTTAAAAAAACCTCAAACAAAACCAACAACGAAAACTTCCTTTGATGTATTTATGGAACAGATACGTGTTGAAATACCTGTATGTATCTGAAATATCTCTCTGTGTGTATATATAACATTAATTGCAACAAAGTGTTAAATTTGGTTTAAAAACAAACAAAACCATAGTTTTGAATGTGGATGGTGAAGAAACTGAGTGCTGCAGAAATGACCTGACGTTTGGATTATGAGAGGCACTCCTTGCAACATAACTGATTCTGTGTGTCAATACTTACCATAAGACTTATGCCTTACCTTTTTAAGCAAAAAAACTTCTTTTCTCAATTGCAAGATCAGACATGCAGCTTACAATTTGCAGTCTAACTCCACAAGGTAGTGTGTGGCTAAAATAAGCCTTTTCAAAGTCTGAGGATTATAACCTAGTAGCAAATGAAAATATTTGAGTAATTTGTCACCCTGCTTGATTTCCAATTTTTTTTTTTTTTTTTTTTTAAATTAAGCAGTTCCTGTTATGCTTAATCAGATGTTATCTCTGGGAAAATTACTTGCGTTCAGTTTTTTGAGCAAACTTTGACTTTATTGTTCTACCATCTTAAGAGCTATTAAATTTTCTGTGCTTCTGTACCTCAGCAGACAGTAACACTTGAGTCTTTGGATTTAAGTTGATTGGAGGAGGGAGGCGCAATAGTAATGCTGTTTTAAAACTGTGTTTTGGAGGTTTTAGTATATCAGTTGTGTATGACTTTCAAACATGAGATGATGATGATGAACTTTTCCTATATAGGTCTGAAATCACCAGAAGAACCACTGGTGTATTTACCGCCAAAGGATGCCTTTCCTAATGACCCCCGGGTAATAAATAGACCGAGAAGTTCTGATTATCAGTTTCCATACTCTCCATTTTCAGACACACAAAAGGGGACAGCAGAAGATGGACTTTATACAAGACAAGTGGAGAAACTTGAAGATCAGTGTGGGCTAGCAGATCACCCTTTTACAACTAGGCATTCCATTAGTGCAATAATAGAGACTATACTATTAGAAGAATATAATCTCTTTGCAAGAAAGATTCAGGAAATTTTGCAGCAAAAGAATATTGCTTATGTTAGTGGTATGTCCACACCGGTCTTCTCTGCCCGAGAGAGGATAATGAGACTTTCTGAATACATATGTTTACAGGCATCAGAGATTTCTGTCCAAGAATATATAGAGACACTGAGTGAAAAGTTGAATAGTGTTATTTTGTCCTCTTCGTGCATTAGGCATACTCCACCAATTTACTCTAGTCCTGAATCAGCAGAAGCGGTTGGTAACGCTGCACTGAATCCTCCACCCGACACTGTTTGCAGGGACTCTAACACGGCACTGTTATCAGAGCCATTGTGTAATAACGTGGTGGAAGATCTGGATTCTAATGAGCAGCGTTCTTCAAGCTTACCCTTAGTGAAGGAGGAAATAGATCACGTGAATGCTAAAACAGAGGATATGTTGACATCTGATCAGACCTCTTCCAGTGGTGATCTGATGGAGCCACCAGAAAAGACACAGAAATCCCCAGAGAACTTAAACATTTCAACCCAACCAGCCCTGTCTGATTTTATAAGCCAGTTAAAACCTGAAGTATTTAACAGTTTGGTCAAAATTATTAAAGATGTACAAAAAAACACTGTGAAGTTTTATATTCATGAAGAGGAGGAAAGCATTCTCTGCAAAGAAATCAAGGTAAGTATGTTCCAGTTCAGCCTTTCTTTAGTGTTAAAATAGAATAGAGTGCCTTTCAAATCAGAATGTGTAAAACTGGACTTGCAAACATAAGGTAGTCTGAAATTTGTTTCAAAATTAAGTTTGAATTGTGAAAGTGAATTGTGAAAGTAGGCTGTGCTGTCTCATTTCTCGTTTGAGGTTCTGAGGTAGTCTTGCTTATGTTTAGCTTTTACGTAAGTCTTTTTCTTATAGTTGGAAAGCAGAACAGGCTGTAGTTTGGCTCTTTCTGAAGATACTGCCAGGGGGGTAGCCTTACAGAAAAAAGATAACAAGGGCAAAAATGTGATAGCTTACCATTTTAGAAAGAATATACGGAAAGTCGATGTGTGCGGGTTTGGATTTTTTTTCCCTGTTCCCCTCTGGTTAATAGTACAGGTAACTTTTGGAGATTACTGTTCTTCTGAAAGTTGAAAGAGGAATAATAAAAACTTCTGGCTTTACTTGAAAACTCATGCAGTTTTGATAGACTGTCAGTTGGCCATTTATGTGTGATTCTGTTAGAATGACTGACTTGCTGAAACAGCCTATTTCTGTGTTGCTACATCCTTCCAATTAATGTATCGGAAAGACAAGGAAACCAGTCCCTCAGAGATTAATTTGAGTGGAAAACTTATTTGATGTGGTCATCATGTGGGGATTGTTTTGGCCGAACTACCTATTCATTTTTTCTTCACCATCTTCTCTTTCTGTGGTGTTAGGAGTATCTCACAAAGTTAGGTAATACAGAGTGCCATCCGGAACAGTTCCTTAAAAGAAGAGCTGCTTTAGATAAACTGTTGATAATTATCCAAAATGAAGACATTGCCAACCTCATCCATAAGGTATTTCACATAAGTAAATGTGTACTATAGAAAGCTGTTGTTAAAACATAGTGAGATGAGCTCATTTTGAGCAAGGCTACTTTCTCATAACAACGTAGCATTTAAACAATGTCCTGCGTTTAGTTGCCGTTTGAAGAAATAAAAATGGTTGTGGTAAGTACTTAGTCTTGTTCCATCATATACTCGTAACTTCTTCCACCTCCACATACCCACATATGTGCCAATGCTTATTTATTCTTAGTAGTTGTAAAGTTCTACAGAGGCCTGAGTAGTTCTGCCTCTAGTTCGGTGGTGCTGTAACAGCAAGTGAAGGCAGCTGTCAGATTACCTTAGGTATTCCTGACAGCTGTGGCTTATAAACCTGTGCTGGACAGAAAGTGAAATTATTCTAAGTGCTCAGCTTCCATTGTCTCATTCCTGTGATGTTTTTGAGAGAGCACCTCCCAAGGCAAGAGAAAAAATAATAATTCTTTGAAAATGTGTTTTGAAGTTTGATATTTGGTATTAGTAAGTAGGAAAGTTCTGTAGTTCCTTTTTTTTTTTTTGTATGATCTTTTGTATACATCTCTGATTTATAACATTTTTAAACAGATACCTGGCTTAGTAACTTTGAAGAGGCTTTCTTGTGTCAGCTTTGCGGGTGTCGATAGTTTGGATGATGTGAAAAATCACACTTACAATGAATTGTTTGTGTCTGGTGGTTTTGTTGTGTCAGATGAATCTGTCCTTAATCCAGAGTCCATCACTACAGGTAAGTGGGATGCTTCCTGAAGCTTTAAAAAAAAGCCTAACATTTTAGATGATGTTTAGAGAGATGCCATAGTCATTGCAGTGAAGAATCAAGTCGTCTAATTTTCAAGTCTTCTACCTGATTTTTGTGAGGCTTTTTGGAGAACTTCAGCTAATCCAGTCTCTTTCTTACCTCAGTGGCTTTTTTGGAGAACGTGTTGCTGGAGAACATGTAAACTCGGAGATCTTGTTTTTCCAAGTTTGTGGTAGATTGTGTAGTTACGTATATGGAATCTTTTATTCCTTACTACTCTGAAAACCTATTTTCACTAGGTTTTTCACTTTCTCTTTATTTGAAAATAAATATTTTAGCGAGGCAGACCATGTATGACTGAATTCAGCTTTTACATAAGCAGATACCACTGCTAGGCATCTCACCTACAAAAAAGAAGCTTATTTTTGGAATATTGTTGTCTGCTAATCTGCTAGGAAGAAAACCTAAAGTACTAAGTTGATGTTCACAGTTGTGTAACTATACTTTGATGAGAACTGAAAGAAGCTTTACGTATATACTGAAGCAGTATTTTCAGTTTGCATACCACAAAATTTAACTTCTATTCAATATCTCCAAAACAGATAAACTAAAACAGTTCTTAAAGTTTCTGGAGGATCTCAATACCCCAGATGGGAAATGGCAGTGGAAAGTCCACTGCAAAATACAAAAAAAACTTAAAGAGCTGGGGAGGTAAGTAGTGTTCTTCAAATACCGGTTGTTAAAATGCTTCAGCTTTAATTATGTTCTCCAAAACCCAGTTAAGTAGAACTTACTCTTATGTTTGTCTTTTGACTTAATTTTAATATTTAGACTGACCTTAAATCAAGTACCTTTCTGATAGTGTGCTTTTTTTTCCCATTATAGAATGAATGCTAATGCCCTGAGTCTGCTGACCCTTCTGAATACCTATCAAAAGAAGCACTTGGTTGAGATTCTGTCTTACCATAACTGTGATTCTCAAACTCGAAATGCTCCAGAATTAGACTGTCTTATCAGGCTGCAGGCTCAAAACATACAGCAGAGACATGTTGTCTTCTTAACAGGTAAAAACAAAATTTATGAGTACTTCTCTGCCTCTTTTGACAATAGGTGCTAAACATTAATACAAAATCTCCTTTTATGTATTTAGAAAAGAATCTCAAAACACTTTCAAATTATGTTGATAATGGAATAGTGGTTGCTACTGTTGATGACTTTATGCAAAATTTTGAAAGTCTCGTTGGGTATCACAACTCTGTTACTGAAGAAAACAGCCTTCCTCCCTCTGATGCTCACAAAAGACAATCAGGTAATATTAAATGCCCTTAGACTTTCTTTAGCTAATTAGATGTGTGGGGTGGAGGTCCTTGAAATAGTGTGCCTTTACTCTTGTAAATGAACACTACAGATGGCAAGGAAAACCCAGCTCAGGCTGCTCTTCTTCTTTTTTTAAACGATGGGGGGAAAAGCAGCTGGGATGGAGCACCAAAGGAGATCTCAAATACAAAATTACAGGCTAACATGCTATTCAAGAAAGGTAGACATATGCCTAAGTGGTGTAACCGTCTGTTTTCAGGAGTAGGATGAACTTAATGATAGCTTTTAGAAACCGTAAAAAAAGGACTGAGATGTCAGTAATTATACTCCTTTAATTGTCTGATCAAATACTCACCTACTGTGTAACTTTAGATGCTGTTTTGACATTAACCCCTTTGGAGCTGGGAGTTGGGATTTCCCAACACCAACCGTGAACACAATGCGCAGAAGCTTTTAGCATTGGAATAACTGGACACTCACACAGAGGGTTAAGTGTGTATGTTGAGTAAGTGAACAAGAGTGGCAGAAGACCAAGACTTAAGTGATATTGGACTTACAGACCTGAAGCGTAACACTCTGTGAGTAGTGTATAGCTTTTCTAACAAAAGTTTGTATTTCAATAGAATAGGACTTTCTCTTTTTTTTTAATGTAGTTCTTGTAGAAAATGATGAAAAGGATGAGGAGGACATGTCTCTGGATTCAGGGGATGAAACATCACAAATAGAAATCTGCAATGATGCCTCTGACACTTATTTGGAAACTTTGCAGACAGAAGCCAAGGGCTCACATGGAGTAGATGCAAAAGAAAGCTGCTTATCAGTTACAGAGCCATCTCCTGAAGCACAAATGGGCTCGATGGAAAAGACTTCTAAAATTGACTTGGAAGAGATACAACCAATTACTCCAGTTTCTACAGCATGCTCTGCTGAAGGAGAAAAACACAATTCAGTTGAACAAGCTCCTTTCAATAACTTACAAGTTTATAGTAGACAACTAAACATGTCCCATCAGTTCAGTCACTTTAATGTACTCACTCATCAGACTTTTCTGGGAACAACATACCCAATTTCTTCTGCAAGTCAAAACCAAGAAGGGGGCAATTATTTTCTGTCTGCTTACAGTCAGAGCATGGATACAGAAAAGTCATCATCGCCTGGTGGTTGGGATATAAATTGTGATTCCTCCAGGCCATATTCAAAACAGAAATAAACTCGTAAGTCTCTTTTTATAAGTTGCTGTGGACTTTCTGTTTCTAAAATGGTGGATTAACAATTTCTATTTTATTCTGGAACAAAATGTTTCTTGTCCTTTATCTCAAATGTTTTCTTGTCTTATTTAAATCCTGATGGCCTGTACCTGTTAGAAGCATCTGAAAATTGAAATAAATATATTTTTTAACATTTACTGTACTTGAATTATCTTGTTTGTTGGCACTTTTAAGTTTCTACATTTGTATTTGACCTGTACCTGGGCTTCAGTTTGAGGTCTGTTTTAATGTAAAACTGAATGTTTGCCTAAAATATGTGAAATGGCGAGTTTTTTTTAACTGTAAGAGTATCCAAATCACCTTTCTTTACATAAATATCAAAACTTCTGTATTTATTTGACATTTGACACAAATTTTGTACAAATGTTTTTACATAGCTCTAAGGCAGTGTAGTTATTTTAATGACTATATACTGGATTTTGGCTAAATACCTCAATTAGAGTAACCAAGGGTGCAGTTCCATTACAAAAATAAAATAAACTCTTAATGCACAAGGGACTTGCTAATACATTGCATTGTCTGTGGTTTTTATATTGTTTTCAAAGTACATGAGAAAAATACCCAAACTTTATTTCATGAATAGCAATTATCTTTGCATCTAATTTTGATACTCTATGCTTATTACAGCACTATCAGAGTGATCTTACAACTTTTATCTTGCCACTGTAAATACTGTAATGAGCGAAGGACAAACCTGGTTTTAATGACTGTGGTAGTTCAATTTGCATTAGAAAAACCTCAATCCTCTCCCACTTTAGCATACTGATTACTGGTGCTTGCTTTTTTTTTTTAAACTAGCATTGTCGTAAGTACAGAGTTTTATCTGTTTCTTAATCTCGCCCTTTTTAATGTCACATCTGTTGCATTATAAACTTATTTTTCCCCGGTGATTCTCTCTTATTTGGCTCATTTTGTACATCATTGACTCAGGCTTCTGGAAAACAGCAGCTGATAGTAAATAGCTGTGGAGTCTCAAAAACTACCCTTGTTATTACATTGCTGGTTTTGCATACACTAATATTCTTGTCTCATATGTTTACTGCTCTTGTCTTCAGGTTGTCCAAAGTCATATGTTGGGGGCGTTTTTCCTGTTTGTAATTTGATTTTAGTGCTTTTATGTAGGATGTGCGGTTTAGTACCAGATGACAGTATATGAAACTATATGACTCTAAACTCACACAATCAGTTGGGACAAATATTACTGGTTAAAAAAGGGTAGCTTTTAAAAAACAAACAAACAAAATCCATAGACTTTTCCCTGAAGTTGAATGTCTTTCTTTCTATTTAAGTTGTTTCATTTATTTGTTTGGATTAAGAACAGACCAGTACTAGACTAGTGTAGCAGTTGTTACCCTCCCACCAAACATGGCAAATAAATAATCTTTTTTTCAAAAAAAGAACTCCCTTGTATAAATAAACTAATGGATTTTGTGAAGAACTGTTCTACTACCTACAACATCAAGTCCAGATCTCACCTACTGCATGACTTGGCGTACAAATGAGAGGAAAGATTCCCTTCGCTACTGCTGTAAGCTATGTCTAAGAACAGTTGCTGCTGGGAGGAATCTCAGTTGGAGGTTCTGTGGTGTTTATCACATGATATCACAGAACAACTACTGTGAATTCAGGTTATGCATCTTCTGCAGAGATCTAGAAGAGAAACAGTTTTACCCCAGATGATCCTATCTTTTGAAGACTAAAAGCAAATTAATCTAAAGTAAACATTTAATTCTGACTGGAAGCATTGAACACTGATCTGTTCAGACATTTTTTTGTAAGAAAACTTCCTTAAACTGAGTTCTACTGCCTTGGGCCCAGCCCACTATAATGTTAAGTGCTGCTATCCTCTTTTAATTGAGAGAGGGGAAGAAGTTTATAGTCAGCACTTCTGTGGTCTTAAAATCTGGGATTACTTGAGTTAATATACAGTGTCTAAGCCTAAAAGCTGTCTGAATAGCTAAGTACAAGCAGTTTCATATAGTTAAAAATACCAACAAATTCTACCCAAGTCATTCAGAATACATCTTAATCTTTTTATTTATCAAAATACATACACTGAGTTCTACAAAAACTCATGTATTGTTTTTACACACTGTTTTGGTGGTTTATATTAAACAGACATATGTCTTCAGGTAGCATGAAGACCATTCTAAACAGACACACCATCATTAGCTTAATGTTTCTTCAATATGAAAGGCAACATGATCCTGTAATCTATCATAATTTAAGTCTTTCATAAAAAAGATAGAGAAGGTTCATAATTAATTACAGTAGCAAACAAAGTGCTGTGCCTTTACGTTTTAAGAATTCAGAACACTCATATGTACCTCTCAAAATGGCGAAATAAAGTTCTCTTCTTGAGCTATAGCAGGA